ACAATATATCTGTGCAAACGTAGATAACGTCGTTTCAGCGCTCATATAGCAAAGGATTGTCAAAGTCACCAAAGAGAGGAAAATTCCGATAACTAAATCCAATGACATACAGTTTTTATAGCTTATTTAATAATATGAAACCTCGATTGCTATATTTGTCAAATTAAACTTTAAACTTTTCATGATGTCAATTTCAAAATCATACTTTCAGACGTTTTTGTCACGTTTAACTGATGTAAGTGAGAGAAATATGACTGCAAGGGCAAACCCTATAGTTTGTCATATGAATATTGTCTTTATTTAGCTGGAATATTTTTTGCATGTTTATATACGCCTCTTCTATTAATACAACTTCATAAATGTATATGTTTTTAATAAAAAAATCTCAGCTTAATTATATTTCATCATAAATTAAAGTGTTCAAAGCTATTACTGATGAATAATTTACTAATATTTCAAAAACAGTACAATTATGCTGTTTTATTACTAGATAGTTGTTTCTTGAAAGTTTTACAACGTAGAATGTCTACGTTATTCAAATATATCGGAAATTGAATGAGTGTAGATTCACTGAATTAATTGAACGAGTTTGATAAAATTATATTTATGCGAGCCTTTATTCAACGAATTCAATAAATAGTAATACCTACAAGAATATAATATTCTATTTATCACATACCCAAAATAAGAACATAAAACATACTGACAAATTTTGTACATTCTAGGTATTGCGGAATCATTTTAATCACACCATATATAAAGATTTTACAATCAATCGTCAGACAGCAAATGTTTTTACATTATAAAAATACACACCTTTACACCTTTTAAGTTTCAAATAAAACAGAAACTTTAATTTTACAGTTAGAGTTTAAAACAAAAGTTGTTTGTTCTTTTATATTTTTTTCTTTGTTTGTGTGTGTGTGTGTTTTTGTTTTAAATTCTTTGAAACATAACCCACGCAGCTTTGTGTTTTTATTTTAATGATAAAACGGAAATGTAGCTTAATTTACATCTTTACCTTCCAGCCCTTGAAATATTCTACATTAATTCATCTTGTGGTTTTGGTAAACATGAAAATTGCACTGCATTTAATTTTTCAATCTTTATTTCCTATGGCCTATACCTTCATCGAAAAGAATTTTATAAATAATAATCAAGATCTTTTAATAAATATTATGTCAAATAAGTAAGAACAAAAACTCCAAGCCCTTTTCGATTTGAGATGTGTTATATTGTTTGTCCTTCAACAAGGTATTTTTGATGAACACGGGTTGGTTGCAAAAAGTCTGTAATATCATAATTTCGATTCTTGTTTTAAAACTGCATGCCTCGAGATCAGCCAAAATATTTCAAGAAAACCATCAAACTGGAGAAAAATATACTTCCTAAAAAGTAAAAGGATTCGAGTAATAAATTATATGTTATATGCGTTTAATGACTTGAAGTTATCACCATATTTCTATTGACATAAGGGGCGATTTTTGGATATTCTGACCATTCTTTTATTTTGTTTTGGTAATTTTTGTAGATTTTTGCCGTTTGTAAAACATTACTTAGTCAAACTTTGTTTACTTGCAAATATTTTACTTTTAATACATTTCAAAAATTATCATGAACATTAGCATGAATCTGGAGAAATGTTGCTTAACAAACATGAACATTTATGTTAAGTCTTTGTAATGGTTTCATAGAATGTAGCCACCACCACAATAAACAAGTCTGCCTTAACTTTATCCTGCTCAATTTTGAGACATGGAAAGAGATTATGCTCCGTCTGGTGCACATGTCATTTGTAAATTGTACTTAATTTTTAAGCTAGTATTAACTTACATTTTTTCACTCCTTCCCAGAAAAAAAAATCATGCATGAATCCTAGATATGGGTGATAATCATAGAGAATCTTTAGTGATAATCATGGATATTGTAGAAAAAGACCAATATCCTTATTTATGTGCTATCTTTGTAATACATATCACTATGAAAATGTTCATCGAATTCCCTCAGTAATTCAAATAGCATTAATTTGTAACAACTACTCTCTTTTTATGCATCCATGAAAACAGTAAATATCAGTAAAAGCGTTTTGTCCACAAGGGGATATGGGGAACTCACCTTCTCGAAATTTTTAACTGTTTGATTTCGTAACACAATTAAAAACACTTAATCCTTTCATTATTGCTAAAAATGTGATTTACTTGCAGTTTACATTTATAGACAGGCAAATGAGTCGAAGGTTTGTGGTATTATTCCATTAAGCATCCAACAGCGTTTATATTTCAGGTTGCCATTCACTATTTAAAATGTGTTTCTTTATAAATAAGAGAGAATCTTCTAAATATAACTTAAGAAATAAAGGATATTGCAACTATATTTCGAAATGTGAATTCATATTTGTATTTAAATAAGCATTTTAGTACAGTATTTTCATATGTTTGCTATTAACAGTTTTTAGCTTAAGCCCAATCATTATAACGTATTTCTAATCATTATATCTTATTTCCAATCATTATAGCTTTTTCCCAATTATTTTAACATATTTCAAATCATTTTAACTTATTTCCAATCATCAAACTCGTTATGATGAAGCCGGGAAATTGAACAGCATCATGAATAAAATCAAATTTAAGATGTATTCATGCAACCGAGATATTGCGTTAAAATGGAAGTAAAATGAAAGGTAAAACAAAGGTACAGTTCAATTTCAAAGCCATCCTGTTCTAGCCTTTGAAGTTTATTTGATATATGTCGTGTTTAAAGTTTTTAAATCATGTCATGTTCATTATACAGGAAAAAGGAAATTGGTGTATTGAATTTGATATTATAATTTCCAGTGCATCGGTATTTAAACTGTTGATTAGAGACTCTATAACAAATATGTAAGGCAAATTACATTACAAAAATAGTTGCCGTACAATGAATGATTAAATGTAGGCTGATGATATCTCATGTAGGAAAATTCATTACCAATACAAATACAAATTATTTACCCTATTGCTGTTTCTAATTATATTTTGATTTCACAGTGCATTTTATTTATATCTGTTAAACGGAATACTACATGTAGTATCAAAGTACAGACACGTGTATTGAACCATATTCAAAAGATAACATTAAATAATGATTTCAATCATTTATCTTGACATAGAGAGAATATATCATAGCAAATGTATAGATAATTACAACTTCTGAATTAAAGATACAAGAACATTCAAATATCAGACAATGTGAGTAGAAATTCACGATCTTGTTTTAATCATTATTAATCATGTATGTATTTGAATTGTATTTTAGAATATGTATATTATTGGCGAACACTCTAGATTTTTCCCTTTGATATTATTGCTATTATATAATATTTAGCTTTCCTGATATAATTGAAATTATAATCATAATCATAAAAAGATTCATTTGTGATATTAAGATTGCAACCGTAAAGAACAAAGCAATTGCTTAACTCTCACTCTAACATTGCTTACTTTTCGAAAGGCATCTTTAAGTCTGTAATTTAATGAAATTTGGCATATATTAAAAATATTGTAACCGTGTGCTTTTTTGTTTGATTAACAAATTAGCTGCCTAATTATATGTAATAACCAAAATAACAGAGTTCAATGTTTGAACAAAAAATGCCTACAAGACAACATAACTATTACTACTATAATTGGTTGTTATTTAAGTTATTCACCTATTTTGCACCAATTACGTGGAAAGAATTTTATCACATGTTGGCAACACCACAAAACAATGGCACGTGAGACATGAGGAAAACAACAAGTGATAACGATAATGGTCAATGTGAAAATAAGGTACAAAGGAGATAATATCTATTGGAAACCATGTTTTCGGAGAAATAATGAACCCGAAAAGTATTACATCATTAATGAGTGGAATACCTGATCTAAAAACGTTACATCATAATAATACGAATACGAGTGAGGACGTTTTGACATTGATCTTTTATAAGTTGGGGACGTTTTGTCGAAAGGTTTGGGTCATTTGGACCAGCAGATGGTTAAGCTCTAAGGGTTGGCGACGTTTTGACTTGCTTGCAGTAGGCTTTATGTTTGAGATTTAATCAGTGAATTGTTAAAGAAAAAAGATGTACCAAATCCTAGGGTAGTTTTAGTATTTCGTGCAATTTATCTGGTCATTTACTTTATTAAAGCTGCAAAATCCAAAATATTGAAGTCTTTTACGAGCATGTACACAATATTCTAAAGGAACCACGTACATACATGAAATGAAATACAAAGTATTAATGATAAATGTAATTTTATTGACATCTTACCAATGTTACCAAAATATAGCATAAGAAACATTGCAAAGAGAAATATATGTATCATTTATTCTTTCGGTTTTTAAACCACAAAAACGTATGAAGTCAGTTTTGTTAGATATATATTAAACGACAAAGACTTATAAGATAGTATAGAACAAATATTATCTTGTTGACTGTCAAGTGTGCATCTTGTACGCAAAGAGCTTATTAACTGCAAAGAGCTTATTAACTAGTCTTTTACATGTATGATTAATACACCAAAAAATGAATAACATGTACCATTACTTTTCGTTTATTCATTACGGTCTCATCGAGTCTAAGATATAAATTACTCAAAATAGGCTTGTAATGTTTACATGATAGAAACGAGCTATTATTTAGGTAATCAGATCTTTGCTGTATAGTACAGATAATAATAATACTAATTCAATACAAATAAATTTAAAGGAAGTGTTTTAGATTTTCTTGGGTGTTGTATTTGCCAGACATTTTAACAGGTGGTGTGCGATTTCATCAAAAAATATAGTGTCAAATAAATTAATGTTTTTCAACTTATATTTTTCCTATATCATCTTCAAAGATTTTATCAAAGGTTTTCATCCGTTCTTGTATACTTTAAAAAACATGAACAGAAATAAAAAAAAATTGGTTTAAGTATGTGCTAGTTTTTTTTATTAGAAAATGTTTATTTACAACATAAAAAAGCTAAAAAATGTACCTGATAAAACTCATATGGATTATTTGTAGAATTTCCAACATATGTTCCGTTACTCCTGTTTCCCGACATAATTCCTTCTGTCCTTGTTTCTACTTTGATACTTCAAGAATAAAATTTTAAATCATAGAGTTATATTCACTTTTAAAATTCTTGTTTATTTTGCATTTCAATGACTAACAAAATAAACCTTCATAAATCATCAAATCCTTCAGCATTGTTTGAAAACATTATTTCAAAATATATAACAGTGAATCAGAACCACTTTAAGCGATGTGAGGTTATTGCAAGTATTCCTTTAACAATATCTAAACAATGATTCGATCAAAGAAAACTATATCAAAATTTCCTTTTTGAACACAAAGTTTTCCTGATATAAAATCTTTTGCGCAATTCAAAAGGATAGAATCCTAGCATAACGACGGGTCTGTATATCTCTGAATATGGTTTCTGCGCAGAGATAGGAAGGAAAAGTCAGAATGCATTAAGGAGGAGAAAATCCGATATTGTTTTTCCGACGGACATCTTCATCTGTGTGTATTGTTAGTAACTCATTGTGACGCTTCCTGACTGGAATTTGTCCGTAAGAGTTTGGAGTTTTATACTAAATTTAAATATGATACCAAATAGTCTATAGTAATTGCAAGGATGAGGGTATTGTCAAAATATATCTTTCAAAAAGCTTCATTACTCAGAACATTTTTTTCAAACTGATATACCAAACAAGCACACGGTTTAAAAGGCCCATTATGTTTCAGAAATTCTTTTTTTTTCAAAAGCCTTTTAATTTTATGTCCGGTTACATGTAACCAACTGGCCAATTACCTGAGTCATTTTTTTCTGTTGCTTTTTGACAATACAGTTGTAGTTATTTAGTATTTTGTATGGAATTCAAAATACTACTTTATTTACATTTTGCTACTTTTTTGCAGAATAAGTTCAGCACTACTTTCTTCAGGTAATATTAACGCTATTAAACCATTAACTTACGTTATAAAAGTTATATTTGCTCTCTTTTTACAGATGAAATATTTATTTGTTTTTCATTTATAATATGGCCTAATTAAAAAAAACCTCCAATATCGCATCGATTTCTGTAATTATAGAAAATCTTAAAATCATAGAGGTAATAAATAGTGTAATTCAGAGAAATATAATTTTAAGTAAATGTATTTATTTGACTTAAAAATAGACAAGGATAATTATTTTAGCTCATTACCACCGATACTATTACCAATTTATTTTCACAAAAGAAAAAAGTCTATATTTATTGCACTCTTTGGTATTGCCTATCTAAACGCCTTGAAAATATCTGTTTATTTCCAGCTGTTAAATTTCAATGAAGGATTATAATAGGTATATAAGCGCGGAAATACGTATATCAATCAAAATATGGAGCGGCTGCTTAAATGACTTTGTATAATTTGTTTATTACCATATGCCTGCCTCTTATCCGAGGGATCGTGGGTTCGAGCGCAACAAGGAATGAAGGTTCACACCATGTTCCCATATATGATCCAAGTACACTTAAGATTCGAAGGTGGTTTAAATCAAGCTAATAATATAGATAAATTATATTTATAAATACTACATAAAAAAAGAAGGTGTATATTTTTTGTAGATAAGCAAGTTTAAAAGTAGCCGTAAAATGTTGTCCCGTACTTCACTTCAGTGTTGCTATATTTTTCTTGTCCTCCGGAATCATTGATTTCAGCAGTTTTAACTGTTGAAAATTGAGCACCACTCAAGCCGGTGTTAGGGGGCGTGAGAGATGTTGCACTATTTTATTATCCCTCAGACTCAATCAAACCGAGTATGCTATTTTCATGTAATTTTCTGATTTTAATTCTTCCGAGGAATCACTTTTTCCCGATATTTAAACTATTATTACCATTTAAATAAAAATTTGACACTAATTATGAAAACCCCGCAACATTAAAATATTAAGTCGATTTATTGCTTGATGTTTAAAACTGCACGCCTCCAGATGAAACAAATATTTTAAGAAATTCAATCTTTAGAAAAATGTATTAAGGTCTTATGAAAATTTAAAAAAAGATTCAATATCTAATTAATTGTTTTCATGTTATGTGCGAATAATGACTCTTTTTGAAGTATCAATCACTATGATTCTACTACGTTACTAAGTTTTTTTGGTAATTTACATGGATTGTAAGTGCCGTTTGCAATGTGTAAATTACTTTCTTTATTCTCTCCACAATATATATTACTTTTAAATACATTTTCAAATTTTTTATGAAAATTAGCATGAATCTGGAAGCATGCTGCTTTAATCATTGATACCATTACTATGATCAGTGGGTGCTTGTTAAGAAGCTTAGCTTGCCAAGACCAGGAAAATAGTAAAAGTTTCTGTAACTGAGAAGTTGTTACCTTAAAGCGAGCGCAAAAACAGTAAATGACGGAGCATTACGTATTAAAACATTACTAAAGAATAGTGTCTGTTAATTTTTATACAATCATGTAGGTTGCCGATCATTAAAATACAAATAATATAACTATATATATATATATATATTATTAATAATTGTAAACAAGTCTGACAAGCGAAGTGAATGAATTAAAAACTAATATTATTCCTAGCAACAATTAAATTCGTATGGTTAAAATTTATATTGCCTTCTCCATTTCATATTTTTTTCCTTAAATCATTTATTAACTGATCCATTCAAATAACCTATATTGTATTTCTTGGATATACAAAACGGAACCTGTTATTGTTTTATTCACTGAGTTCATATATCGCGCTTTGTAGAGTTTAAGTGTCATCATGCTCATTTTTTCGTTGTACAGGTGAATAAAATTAGTAATATACTTCAACAGATTTACTTTTGGAATCATTATGTTGATTGACCAACGATTGATAATAGAAAATGAAAAATGTTTATGATAATTAAATTATAAAAAGACTGACCTACTCTGTTTAAAAAGTGAAAGTTACCGATACATTCCGAATGATATGTATAGGCCACGTGGATTATTTAAACTGTTTTATGTTAAAATATAAAAATGAACACATGTCAAAATGAAGTTATTTCGACTTTTACCTGTGCATTCGCCATTTACACTTGAATGTAACATTAATGCTCTTTTATCATAATGAGGCGTGACTTTTTAATGAACACGTATGGCGAATATATGGATCAAGTGCTACTTCTCACATACATGTAATTACTCTTATTATATAAACATGACTTGTGAATCAAATCGTCATCACAAATATTAGATCAAGGATAGTATCGGGGGAAAATGCAGGTTATGAAATTGTTCTATTTATCTCATTATTACAAACCTGCCAGCACACCCTTGAACATGATTTTGCAATCCTATGAGACTTGTGACAGCCCGTATAAATACACTATTATTGGATTTTATATGACAATAGTTAGTATTTCATTGCTATTTTTTTTAATTACTGACCAAATTCATGCGTAGGATAATTACCATCGTGGGCGATAGAGCCAGAGCAATACAAAAACAACACGTGATACAGAACAAAAACTTATTATTGTTTTTAAATTACAGCAAGTGAGGCTGACTTCACTAGAATGCAAAAAAATGTCTTTAATTCGATTGTCAATTTTTTAGAAATAATGAAACTTTGCTGCTTCAGAATAATTATTATTCAGAGATTTATTTGAAGAAAAATGTCAATTTAAGCGTCACTTGACATGACAATATGGCATTTGTCTTCTAAAATGTGTTTTGATTTTAATTAAAGTATGATGTGCATGTATTTTTGTCGATTTGATGGCAGTTAATGAAGTGTTGTTTGATTATTTTTGTTTTGTTTTGTTAATTGTTGTTTTCTTTCTTTCTTTTTTGGGGGGGGCGTGTTTTTTGTTTTGTATTTTATCTTTTTTGGGGGATCTTCTTTTTGTGTTTTGCTTTCCTTTGTTGCTTCTGCTGCTGGTAGCTTTTACAATGTACTATTGCAGTGCGCAAAGTTATAATAACATATGTAACGTATTTTAACTTGTCTCAAAACAATTATTTTAGAAGTGTGCCCTACTATAACATGCTCTGTTTCAGCCCGGACAGGTTACAGGAGAAATATGTTACAATTATAATTTTTATTATTGATTAACCCAGACAATTTCTTATTTGTTGCTTATGAATTGCTATAAAACCATATTCCACGATAGTCTTAGTAATGTAAACCATTGTATTTTGAATGTCAATCTTGATAAATTTTTTGTAAAGTCCGATCTTGATAATATTTTTAACGTTTAAGTCTCTGAAACATTTAGATGTTAGAGAAATGTAATTACTGGTTAATCTGAAAAGTATTCGGTATTTTTTCTTTGATCGTTTTAAATTGACCTTTTCAAAAATCAAGCTTTGCAAATTGTCAATATAATGCAATATTGTACAATTAATTTGACCATTTCAAAATGTCATTAAACAGACATCTACAAGCCACATGCCATCATCGACTTAAATGTTGAAGATTAAATACTGCTGCAGTCGACAAAGTCATATTTAAAAAAAAACCCATCTCTTTAGAAAAATAGAATGAACCCTAATCCATCGGCTTGAGTGGTACAAACTTTCAACACTTAAAAGTGCTGCTGGAATCAATGTTCCCATGGACCAGAAAAAAACAAACGCTGAAATTAATCACAAGGCAAATTTTTATTGCTGCCAACTCGGGACTTGTGATGTATAAATATCTAGAAAAAAGTGATCCCTCGGAAACACCAAAATAAGCATATTAATGCATGGCGTATTGTAATTACTGAAGTTCAATATTAAACACCACTATAATTATCAAAATCACTGATGTCTAAATTGATAAAAACCTCTGATCTTTAAATTGATGTAAATGCAATCATTAATATTTATCAAAATTGCTGATTTTGCAATTGTTTAATGTAGAGTAAAATCAGAAATACATTAAAATGAAATAAATCATCTTTAAAAATGTTTGATCCTTGTTGATTCAATCCCTTAAAATACTAGTAAATAAAAAGCAAGCATTTTGACAAATTAAACACAGTTTAGTTAGTTTAATTTGTATTGCATTGAAGATGACATTGCAAATTAATTATTTATATCAATCAATTAACAGCTTTGTTTATTTCATGATTTTGATACGCGACATAGCAATAGTAACAAACATTACAATAAACAGTGTTTTGACAAACAGGGAGAGTGACAAACAATATAATGACCGAACTGAATTTAATGCAATCAACAACATTTTGAATGAAATTATAAACATTTCACGTTATTGATAACAATAAAACGATAAAGAAAAGTCGCACAATAATTTTTTTACAATAATCGAATAATAATAATATAAATATAATATGAACGATTTGATTTGTTCCAGTTATATGTATATGATTACAAAACATCAGGCTTATTTAATTTTACTTGCTGGT